CATTGAATCACTAATCAAATCATTGAATCACTAATCAAATCATCGAATCACTAATCACATCATTGAATCACTAATCACATCATTGAATCACTAATATCTGTGCCTTTCTTGTCACTTCAACTGGCAAATTTCTTTTTCCTGATTTTCACTGGCTTCAGTCTTTTTAATAATTGTAGTAACAGCTTCCAGTTTTTGCTTTTTATTGTACTCATGCTGTTGCTTTTTATCCATTACCATTGACCAGGTCCTCATATTGGAGGAGGTGGATATTATAACACAGTTGTTCTGTTCATTGGGAGATGTTGTTTCAACACTTCACTTACTGGCACTCGATTGTGATACCTTGATGCTTTGAAGATCCACGTAGAACTTGTAGATTTATTGTAGGAATATCTTGATGGATTTGGCATTATTGCGGTTTTTTACTCTTCACCAAAATGAACAACCCAATTCATAAAGATTTACTTTTATATTCATTATTAACTGTAACTAACTCTACATAAATAAACTATCTTCTGTTTAATTTAAAATTTAACTCCCCTATATATCCTATAATCTATGTATGCACAGCTGATTCAATTTGAGATTCGATTTGAGTCATATATTTTGGGATGATTTGATAAAAATTTTATGATTTGCAGGGAATTATTCTATAAAGAAGGTAGCTGGTTGGGAATTATCTAAGAGAATGGGACATATCTTTCAACAGATAAATTTAGGGTTAATTTGTGAATTTTTTCACATGTAATATTTTTTTTTTAGAATTCCTCCAAGTTGAAGACTATTTCCACCTGTGGGATGCTAAAATAGGTTCACAATACACACACTGACATAATCATCTAGAATATATCAACCTAATAACCCAAGAGAAGCTAAGTACTTTCACTAGTTTAAAATAAAACCTGAGTGTTTGAGAGATGTGGTCTTCTCTTCATCAGAAGAAACTGGGGCTATAAGACTGGCCTTCAGGAAGCGGTTGACCTTTTTGATTTTAAATCAAACACAATTTGAGGCACCTCCCCTATGTCCAGAAACATAAGGAGTGAATGTAGGGCTTGAACTAATAAATTAAATCAAGAATTTGTATTTATATACATAATGTATTTTACATATAATTTATCAATAACTACTTTATTTCACACCTGCTTTAAAGAAATGGTGTTACAATTATTTTACTTTACTTTATTACTTTTACTAATTCCTCTCTACAGCCTCAGTGTTTGTTGATACTCTGAGTACTTCTTGATAGACCACATTACAAGTTCTTCCTCCTTCCTGGGCCCAAATAAACAGATTTTCTGGTGGTCATACTTTTGAACATCCTACATAGAATTAATCATGTGCAAGGAGGTTTCAGATGTAGCCATGAACTTGTCTGAACTTGTGCTTTGGTTGCCATTTTTCCTGGCAAAAATGTGAATAATAAACAAATTTAGTATTCCAAAAATTGTTTATTTTCGAAGTCTAAGTTCAAGGGAGGTCCAGTTCAATCTATACTTTGATCAATATGTGTTATTGGGTTATACTAGTTTCAGAGAATTCCACTCCTCGTCCGTAACCCTGTGAGTAACCAAAGAGAGATAACCCGTATAATTTGTAAGTTATTTTTAAGCCCCAATATACTCTCTTCTTAAACTCAATTGCAAAAAAAATTATTTTGAAATACAGAAACTGGTGTGAATGATATCATTTGTATGCTTTGTTGCCTAGTTTAACTGCACCCAAGTATTTTCAAGGCCTTCTATTTTTAACTTTCTTTTGAAACAGTAGTGTTCTACACTAGCAGAAAAGGGTTATACGATAATCTCAACTGTAAACATACCTATTGAACATGTACAAACTAGTTATTTTTCTATTATAAGAATACTATTACTTACTGCATCAAAGGTGATAAAACTTTCAAAACCAAACAAAGTACAGTGAATGTTACATAATTAACCTAAAATCATCTTTAATAACTTATTTTTTCACAATTATTTTCTCAGTGCTATTTACCAGGATATTACTAGTTGTAAAGTTTACTGGTGTTTTTTACTTTTTTTTTCACAAGCTTCAAGTTAGTGTAAATTTCAAAAGCCTGATCTAGTTTTTATTTCTACCAACTTCTTTGGGTTACAAAAGTTTCAAAGAACACCCTCACCATCAGTTATTATAATTCTAAACTAGGTCAAAACAAAATCTGATAATAAAATCTTAGTTAAAGCAATATACCTATTTAATGTGCATGGGTATTTTTATCAAGCTAGACATC